AAGGGATGAACTAAAATTCTCTTAATTAAGACCCTTGATCATATAAAAGTTTATAATAACATAATAAACGGGCCAAATAGCTTTTAAGTAAGAAAAAGGCCAACACAGACAATCTGTTTTGTGCTAAGATTAAAGAAGAGGAATAAACAAGTCGACGAGATTTTGGATTTTTTTTTAAACCGAATATAACAAAATTTGTTGTATTTAATACAATTTGTCCTGTCGATCATGTCCCCAAAAAATAACCTTAAAAATACAATAAAAAACTGCAACAAAATATTTTAAATTTAACCCCCCCCCCGAAATATTTTTCTGGATCCGCCCAATTAGTCACCTAATAAAAACCACAAGTATGATGGAATTTACAAAAATGGCGAATGCGCCGGGATTAAGACTTTCCGCTAAAAATTACATATAATGTAATATAATCAATAATGGAAATTTTATTTAAAAAAAATTGTAATATTTTCACTAATTTAAATTTATTTATGCATGCACATACGGATGTATTAACACCTATTAATGTTCAGAGCACAAAGAAATATACACGGTCGGTAGACGATAAATCCCATTTGGCAACATCGTTCCAAGCGAATATACAACCCTGACACGAATTTGCATACAAGGGTTTGTTTTTAAGGCAGGTTAGGAGTTGTTAAAGGAAAATCACCGCTCTGAAGAAGGGCCGGGAGGGAAAAAACTTTCTCAATACTTGCTCGCGTGATATTAACGTCTGGAATGACCATTGGGAAGTGGAAAATAGCGTGTCTAGATTATCCATTGGCGTAGAAAATATTTTCTAAAAAAATCAATTATTAAGTTAATAATTTTGTTGACATTGTGGAAATACCCAAATGTTCCAATTTTTAACAATTTCGCGATGCAGTTAATTTTTATAAAAAAGTGGTTGTGTTATAGCACGTTGTATCATTTTATTTTACAGGCATTTTTATATTTTTTTTTAACAAAAAGTACAATAAAATAAACATAATCTGTTTAATTTCCAATATCAAAAAAGATACGTATAGCATTACCTATATCTTAAATTTACTTATATAAGCAACCTTTACCTAATTTCAGAAGAACAAGTTAAGTAATTGTATTCCATTTATACTGATTACACTGTAGGGAGGTGAAAATATCACAGCTAAACGCTTGGACACGTAAACTTAATTTTTGGTCGTAGATTAAAAAATCCGTGCTTGGTTTAGCTGTATCAGGTCAAAATTTAAAGATAATGGAAACACCCTGTTTAAATTTAAACACCCTGTATAATTTTTTTTTTAATTAAATTTGGCGGGACCCACACATCAGTTCCAAATTAAAAAAAAATAACAAATTCTTGCAAAATTTGAAGTTAATTGATCAAAAGATACACGTGTCCCTAAGGGTTTTTCTTAGATAATTTAGGAAATTTAAAATGATTTTTTGCTGATTTTTTTTTATTGAGTATAATTGAGGATATTATATTAAATGAAATAAAAAGCATAAAACTGTTGGCACAAGAGGTGAATTATATTAATTTACAAATTATAATATACCAGTATAAAGTGTGTTCCCGGATCGGATTTCCAATAGGAAAAACTTTTTTAGACCTGATACAGCTAAACCGAGCACGGATTTGGAATTTACGACCAAAAATTATGTTTACGTGTCCGAGCGTTTAGCTGTGATATTTCAAAAGTTAAAAATTTACCTACACTGTTATTAGACTTAACGTTACACAGTATTATATAAAATATGTTTTTTCTCACACAAATAAATACTTTCCAGCATATTTACAAGAAATGTAACCCTAAGAGATTTAAAATTTAAATAAAAAATTGCTTATGGAGTATAAGTATAAGTATAATTTTACAAAAACATGTTAACAGGATATAATACTCGCATAAACTTGTACCCATACACATGTTTAAAGAAAAAAGTGATCATCAATCATTCTAGTCAGAAGAACTAAGCTAACTATAAGACATTAGCATTTAAGGGCACGCCTATGGTTGAAGTAAAGGGGGTTGGACATCGTCCAGAAGTATAATGTAAGACGGCGGCGAACCGCATTGAAGTGGCGAAACTGCTCTTTGTCACTTTAAAGCAGCGCGTTAACTATTAAAACATTTCTTTTTGAAAAACCGGATGATTGACCTTAAATTAAGTGTTTTGGTTGATTAAAAATCGTAAAAAATTAAGGATTCCGATATGACCCTAATATCAGTGAGTGTAATCGACAAATACAAATGGTAGATACAAGTTACTTGATTTTAAGATAGGTCCTTTTTATTTTTATTTTATATTTTTTTTATTACAAAGCATGAACTATGCAAAGTAAATTGCATTTTAAAAATAAATGATAAAATAAAATAATTTAATTGTTAGTCAGTAAATACAATATTATTAAAATTTGAGCTTTAAAATTAAAACTTATTGCTTTTAACACCTTAATTTAATTATATATATATAATATTATATAATCATATGATTATTTCCAGTTTAATTTTCATTTTAAAATTTAAACAAATGCCCATTTTTTTGGTCTAGAGGTGTGCGAATCGAATTGAATAATTTAAATCGAATATTGGAACTATTCAGATTGTTCAAATTATTTCAATAGTTCGAATTATTTAAATAGTTTTAAAGGGTTTAAATTTAAGAAAATGTTCCAATAAAATTTATTATAAACAATTATGACGAAACATTTAGGGCATGTAAATATAACAATTTTTTTATCATGGGGCAGTTTAACTTATTCTTTTATTATGACCGATTATTATTAAAAAAATAAAATTTACCAACAATTCGAATAATTCTAACTATTTAAAGGATTCGAATTATTCGAATAATTTAAGTCATTTAAATAGTTCGAATACTCGAATAGTTAGAATATTTTCGATTCAAACACTATTCGCACACCCCTAATAACAATCTGTAGATCATCCACCTTCAAGGTGATGCTCGACTCCTATATAGAACACACTGTATAAAATGTTTAAAAAAATTAATAATTCCTTACCAAAAATAAGATACATAGTTCCTATCAACTTGGATCCACAAATACTTTATTTGAAAGATACTGGGTGTTAAAATTTTAAAAATATCAGTAAACACCAAGTTAGATAAAAAATGTGGAAAACACAATCAACAATATTACAGATTATTCTTTTGTTTTGTTTTAGAATCGGCCCATAGCATACGGGATTTCCATTACTAATTTATTTTAAGATATATTTAACAGTTTGATAAAATTGCATTATTTCTTTTTTGGTCATTGTGCTAATAAATTTAAAAAGTCAGTGTCGTACTTATTTTGTGTTAACAATTATTAGAGCACCTGATCGCAAGCATGCCCCTGTTAACATAACATTTGATAACATATGTGCTATTTAAGGTACTTTTTATAAAATAAATTTTACTAAGCCATTTTGGAAATATTTAAAAAAAACATTTTATTACACTGTATCAAACAAAGCATCTGTGTACCCATGTTGATTGAAACTATTTGTCTTATTTTTCAGTAAAAAATCACAGAGCCATGTCACATGTTTTTTTAAATACACAGTATTGAGGCGATTTTTTTTAAATCTTATCTTAAAGGTTATCTTTTTAATGGATTATTTTTTTTTAAATTAAATTAATTGTTATTATTACACTTTTTATAACATTTCTATAAAATATTTTATTTACTTCAGTACTACTTAGTGTTTACATTAGATAAAAACTTCAATACTATTTTTTTTACTAAATTAACTACAAAGTATGTTATGCTATATTTATTGTTATGAAGTGGATGTAATTATAATAAAATAAGTCGGATTACGAGAAATTTCCATGCTTAAAAATTGAGTACCTTTTTTAAAAAAATTAACTTTATATTAAACCACCGGATAAAAAAATAATGCTTTCACTTGAAACTTGATTTTTTGTATTTGACAATACAACAATTTTTTAAAAACAATTAAAACACGAATAATATAAAAAACAAAAGTCAATGTAAATATAAAACGTTTAGATAGAAAAACCTTTAGAGATTAACTAAAAAAATCAAAAACATTGATACACCGTATAGATTTTAAGTTATGTGGTTAATTGTAAAAAAATGTTAATATTCATACTTAATTTATACTTTAACATAATAAACACGTTAACATGAAATATAGACTTAAAACGAGAATATTGATATTTTCAGTTCATGTAAAATAACTTACGTGTTGCATAAAATATTTAACATTTAACGTACAGATGGAAACATTTTCAAGGACAAAATAATTTATAAAAAATATTTTTTAGAAAGGTTAAGACATGCACTAAAGACTTTTTCCTTAGCTAAAAAAATGGATTCCAAAACAAGATACACACCTTATAAATTTAAAAATCAATAACTAAATAGTAATGAGATGTTATATACTGCATATATTAGGAGCGCCCTATAAAATCAATTTTCGAAAATGCGGCTTCATGTATATATTTAAATTAAGTTAGTTTTACAAAAGAAGTACATTAAGAGTACTAGTATATTTGTTTGCGTTAGGCCTGTACGTATTAACCCTAGGATACAACATACACCATTCAGAATTGGCTTAAATCAGTAAACAAACATGTAAAAATTAAGTGATCAAAAAGGACGTAAAGCGAAATGACGTATATATACGTTATGCCCTTACACGAAGAATATAATGGTTATGGATATATCGAAAATGGCGGGTACGATTTAAAAACAAGAATTATTATTATTTTTGATGAAAATCTTTATCGTGCTTAAGGTCATACCAACTAAATACGATCATTAAATTTGCCATGTAAGAATGTTACTCTAGTTGTCCATAACAATCGTAAATGCAGTGTCCAATTTTATGTAAATTTTTATCGACCTAGTTATGAACAAACTTACATGGAAAGAAAAATAATTACATACAATATACTTCTGCATTTTAGGCTTATCATTGTACACAACCACATAAAAATATCAATAAAAATCCTTATTCACAAAATAAACAATTATTTTTCAGTCTACCACCATCAAACCAAACGCCCCCAAATGAACCAGAAGCAGCGAAACCTTCACCCAAATCCAACCCATGTACAAGATTTTTAGCAAAATTGCCTTGCAAGAGCAAATCAGCATCAAAACCTGTGGAACCAAAATCCGACCAACGTGAAGAGGATGGAAAAACTGGCTGCTTCAACTGCCGAAAGAAGAAACCTGCAATGGAGCAGGTCAGAATCAACATTGAACCGAATGAAGACGATCCCAAACCAAAATTCATGGATAGACTGAAATGTTGCGGAAAAAATAAAGTCGGCGATACTACAGGGTGTTTTTCCAAGGGAAAACGGAAAGAAAGTTGGACTGAAAGGCGCGACAGCATACTAAGCGATCCGCCACTACCAAAGTAATAAAAACATAATTTATTCTATTTTTAAGGTTTTGGGACTTTTATCACCATGTATTTTCTCAGTGTCCCTGAACGAAGTTTAAGTCACATAAAAATGACGCCAAAAACTGATTGCAGTTTCTTGTTCGGGACCCTTTGGTGAATTAAAAAGCTGATCCTTTTTTCGAAATTTTTTCAAAATTTATGATTTTTTTTTTTAATTTTTGTTTATTTCAAAGTCTACCTTTCACAGAGTACACATTTGTACACCGATTTTTATAAAATTAGAGTATATTATTGAGGAGACTTAAAGAATACTTTTTAATAATGTTCACATCATTTGATATATACAGGGTGGACCAAAAATCGCTTAATTTTAATAAAGCAAAAGCGTAAATTCATGATTTTGGCATAACAAGCAAAACAGATGTATCCCCATTTTTTTTTAGATATTTCTATGTTTATTAGGTTACAAAATGGTATTATTATTAACCTTTTATTAAAAAAATAGATTTTTAATAAAATTAAATAAAATAACGCTTAGAGAATATTTAAAATGTTGTTTAATTTAGGCTTTTTAGAAGTTTTCAATTTTGAACGAAAAACTGGTTAAAGTTTTTTGATCGGCACTCTTTGGATATTTAAAAAATCATTTTTTTTAAATTATTTGTTTATCGCAAAGTCTATAGGTATACCTTTGCCAGAGTACAGATTTGTACACCGATTTTTATTGATTGCAGTTTCTTGTTCGGGACCCTTTGGTAACTTTAAAATGATATTTAACAAAATCCTAGCTGCTCCTCTTTTCGAATTTTTTTGAAAATTCTTAATTTTTTTTTTAAATTTTTGTTTATCTTACCTTTGACAGAGTACACATTTGTACACCAATTTTTATAATATTGGAGTATATTGTTAACGAGACTTGGAGAATACTGTTTTCATACTGAGCACATCATTAGATTTATACAGGATTAGCCAAAAATCACGTTTTTATATAGTAAAAAGCATAATGCACAAAACAGATTTATCTCCAAAAAAATTTATTTTATTTAATTTTATTCAAAATCAATTTTTCTTATAAAGTCTTGATACGAATCCCATTTTGTAGCCTGATAAACATAAAAATATCTAAAAAAACATGGGTGGGTATATATCTTTTTTGCGTGTTATGCCAAAATCATGAATTTACGCTTTTGCTTTATTAAAAGAAGCAATTTTTGGCTAACCCTGTATATATTAAATAATGTGCACAGTATAAACAGTATTCTCCAAATCTCCTTAACAATATACTCCAATATTATTAAAGTCGGTGTACAAATGTGTACTCTGTCAAAGGTAGACAATAATTTAAAAAAAAAATCAAGAATTTACAAAAAATTTCGAAAAGAGGATCAGCTAGGATTTTGGTAAATATAATTTTTAAGTCACCAAAGGGTCCCGAACAAGAAACTGCAATCAGTTTTTGGCGTCATTTTTATGTGACCTAAACTTCGTTCAGGGACACTGTGTTCTATAGAAAAAAATATTATAAATAAAATTTCTAAAAAATAAAAGCATTAACTTATATAGGCTGTCCTATGGAAAAATAATGGACCATTTAAAGAGTTATAGTTTTGTTACTCTTTGCCTCAAAAACAATCTCTATTTATCTATCTATATCTCTATCCCTGCGACCAACCCTTTGCAAAAAATCACGTCGAACCGTAAAAATTTAAATAGAAACAAAACAGGAATTTAACTAAATTGTCCAAAAGAAGTACTTCTTTTGGACAATTTAGTTTAATTCGTGTTTTGTTTCTATTTAATCGATACTCATTATGCATTTTACAAACCGATATTCAAATTAAAAGCGCAGTTTTCAATCATCAAATTTTGTTTGAATTTGTCTACTTTTTAATTACCCAAAATATTAATTTTAATTTGCAGTTTTATATTACCCGGATTAAAATAAATTAAATGAAAGAGCAGTTTTTAATAAAAACTTTTCAATTATCCAATTTTTTTCAAGCACTCCATAACTATAATTTTAATGAGGTGGTTTCAATTAACTGGTTAATTTTTATCCAATAATGTTCAAATTAATTATTTATTAATGATAACCCAATTTTGTTTTATGTTTTTAAGCTTTTGAGCTTTTTAATTTTTTTTTTGCAAAATTTAATAATTTGGAAATATTAATATTTTAAAACACATTTTATATCGAGAGCGTCATATCAGAAGGGCGTAAGCGCCACTATGGCCGGATTTGGGTTTTTTGGGCGTATGGGCTTATTTTATCAATCAGCTTGATATATCAGAAGGGCATATAGATTCGTGAACATCAGCACTCTATATCAACCCATTTTACTTAGGCGTATTATATTAACCAATAAGCCCATACGCCCAAAAAACCCAAATCCGACCATAGTGGCGCTTACGCCATTCTGATATGACGCCCGCGATATATTAATAATACTTTGCAAATTTTTCCGACAATTGCAAATTTGCCCTGGCATTTTTTAAAATTATACTATTGTGCAATTTTAGTTCAAATACTCTAATAAGATGCAGGCATATTCGCGTTCCCGTTCCCCTCTCGAACTTCTAGTTGTGGCAAGGAAATTTTAAAAATTGTTCTGTTCCTGTCCTGTCTCATACCAAATTTTATCAAAATCCGTTCAGTCGTTAGATACTTTCTTTTAAAAGTGGCGAATGCGCCGGGATTAAAACCGAATTTGGTCCCACATTAGATCTACTCCCTTAAATAATTTCAAAAAATTGTTTCTTGGCGCTTATCTACATCATGTACTGTCAAATTGTAGCCCTTCAGATCCAGCGGTTAGGTCTGGGCGTTGATAAATCCGGGCACGTGATTATACAGGGTGTCTCGAAAATAGTTTGCAATAATCTACAAGCGGTGTTTAGGGCCAAAATAGGAAGAAAATGGGACCTCAGGGACCTACAGAGCCAAAGATAATTATTATTATCTTTGTACAGAACCCCTTAAGGGCGCCCCTGATTATGTTTTATTATTATTTCAGTATTTATTTTTTGAAATTTAATATTTTGTTTTTATTCGAAAATGGGGCATTTTATCGATGTTCAACCTTTTTACGTGGAAAACTCTAAATTATTATATTCTGCAGCCATCTTGTAAAAAAATTGCATACAAAATGTGGGGCTAAAAAACCCTGTTTAATACACTCATAAATAAAAAAAAATTGTTGATATTTTTAAATTCAGACTAAAAAGTTAAGTAATCTTACAAAGATTCATTATATTCATTTTATCTGAAACTGTCTCTGAAATAATAATAAATAACCATCTTCTATCTAACCATATTTTTGTCTTTAGAAACAACGTGTAGAGTATTGCACAGTATTTTTGGAACACCCTGTATATGTATAGATATATAGATATATTGACAAATCAGTCGATTTCTAAGGCAGTGGGTTGTATTTTTTCGTTTAATTTAATTCCATTTGTTAGTTAATTGATTGATTTTTTCTCAGTACTTTTAGATCAATACAAACGAGAAGGCAATATTTTTGACTATTTCCCTCGTCTTAATATCGACCAATCACAAACGCGCAGTTTTGAATTACAAATGGTTTCTAGGTGAAAAAACTGTGTGACAGCACCTGTCAGCAGTTTATTCGAGTTTACCCGCGGCAAAACTTGACAACTGTTGTCACCAAAAATTGCAATTTATATTTTAATTGTTAACTGTTACTCATAAAATAGTCTTGTCAAATACCATTCGGGCATCTAATTTTTCCTGTGAAAAAAATCGAAAAAAACACAATGCTAACTAATATTTTTTAACAAAATGCATTCGTGCAGGTGCAAAAATCCTCCTCTTCGACTCGGATTTTTGTTGCCACCAGCACTCATGCTTTTTGTTAAAATATTACTTAGCAACGTGTTTTTTCGGAAAAATTAAATGCCCTTATGATATTACTTACGAAAATATATATTACATAAATAATTTTTCATTGCATAAATTCATAAAAAAATAAAGTAAATCAAAAAATTTAGCAATAAATTACTCTTATAGTTTGTATAAACAATATCTTAAGAAATCAATTAATTTATTTAATACGGTTAACTGTACCATGTTCCTACATATGTACAGGGTGATCCCCTATAATGTCGCCCCCCCTTTAACTTTTTTATTTTAAGTGCCCGAAAAAATTTCAAAGTGTGGTTATGTAGGTACTAAAAAATACTTTTTTTCTACGTATAAAGAAAATTGGAAAATTGATCAGTTAACAGGGAAAAACAAAAAGTTTATTTTTTTTCAATATATCACCCTATATATGTATTTATTTTTCAATTCCTTGTAAAATTCTAAGCATATTTTATATAACATACCATTTACCTTAATTCAACCGTTTCTGAAATATTTAAATTATTTTTAAGATAATAAGTTGAAATAGTTTGTCTTTCTCTGTCTGAGTACGCCATTTTTACTTATTTAACAAGACATATTGACATAATGTCACTATAATAATTTATTTTCAATAAAAATTTTGGTATACTGAGGCTTCTTGATTTCTAACAGTTTAAAAAAAACATTTAATGATAACATTTCGAATGCGAATATTTCAGAAACAATTGAATTTAGGATATGATTTGTTATATGAATTATGCTCAAAATTTTACAAGGAATCGAAAAATAAATTCATATATAGGGTGATCCATTGAAAAAAAAATAAACTTTTTGTTTTTCCCTGTATATTGATCAATTTTTCATTTTTTTTAATACGTCGAAAAAAGTATTTTTTAGAACCTACATAACCACACTTTTAAATTTTTTGGGACACTTAAAATAAAAAAGTTAAAGGGGGGCGACATTATAGGGGATCACCCTGTACATGACCAAAATTAAAAATATTTAATAAATATTTCTAAAACTTAATAGAATTTTAAAACCAAACAAGTTTTTATTCCAAAAAAATTTCTCTAATTTTTTTATAAAATTATATATTATTTTTCAGATCAAAATGCAACGAATTTAAAATTATATATTATTTTTCAGATCAAAATGCAACGAATTTATGAGAAAAGCTTTTTGCCTTAATTTATGCTGCAAAAAAAAAATATCCGTAGGAGAAGAAATTAGCAGGAAAGCTTCCCTAATGAGCAGCAAAAAAAAGAGTTTAACTCCGACCACATTGCCTCCCCCAGAAGTAAATAAAAATTCTTATTATTAAAATTAATATTAACAATAATAAAAATATTTTTAGGAAGTAAAACCAAAGTTAGACGTAAGCCTTGTGGAATACACCTCTCATATGAAAGGAGCTATTCCAGTCCTACCAATTTATTTGGCGTGGTTTTGTTTAGTTATGAATTGTATAGCCCCTGGTACAGGTAATATATTTTTTGTGTGATTGAGTTTTGACCACACTTTTTGTACAAACCATTTATGGCAAGAAATTTTTTAATATCATAAAAAATTGTCCATTAAAGAAGAGTGCGAAAATTTTATATTGCGAAACCCATTACCTGCTCAAATATGGAAATTTTGTAGTTTATTACCAACTTCTAATCTGATTTGATTAAGTCAAGCTCACGCAAAATATGCTGGTGGTTAAACATTGTTTACAAAGAAATTTTTCTTTAAATAGTTTTGGAACACACGTTTTAGAGTTTTTGCACGAACTTAAAAACAAAACTAGTGGGTATTTTTATGAAGCATGGTAACTATTTTAATTTAAATAAATTACAACATAATAAAAATGAACCTGGAACAATAAATATTCTGAGCTAAAATAATTTTGCAAAATTACTCATTTTTATGCTTTTAGAAATTATCGAATGGGAAATATTACTACCATCTCAAATTGGTAGTTGACCCTTTTTAAATTAAATTTATTCGACAAATGGATTTTAGACATTTGGCGGTCGGTTCGTTCTCAATAATTCACCTTGGGTAGTTTAATTAATTTTGCCAATTACATTATATTAATAAGCGGTTTAAAAAAATTATAACAAAAACATAAAAATCTTATTGATTTAAAAAAATATATATTAGAGTAAACATTATTTCTTGGGAATTTAATACTGGTTTGTCATTATTAACCCGTTTTTACACAATAAATAAATGACATATCATGTCTTCCATACACAGATTATATGGTTTCATATTTGAAATGTCAAAACTGTCATTTGTTAATTATTTTAAGTTATTTAGCCTTTGGTTTTAACAAGTCATCAAATAATCCAATTATTTGCGACCAAGTTTGGTGATCGCATAGTTTCAAGAAATTCTGATGTGAATTGGCCGTTAAGATCGTGCAATTTGGCCGATTTAGATATTTAAAAAACGCCAATGCCAATACGCTAAAGAAGTATCGCTAGTAGCGCCACCACTCGGCTATTATCATCGTAACAAAAGTAGAACTTTTAATAACCAGCTGTCAAACGCTTAGGTTACAAACGAGAATAAAGCCGGAAAATGTTAAAAAATATCGAAAAAAAAACCGTGGCTCGATTTGTTGTGTTGTTGGGTGTATTTTGAGAGGAAATCCTGGGTTGAGTTTTTACCGGTTTCCCAATAAACAGTGTTAATCTTAATGAAGAAATAAATTGCATTCAGTCCATGAAATAAATGTGTCTCTTAGGCCCTAGAACGAGAAGAGTGTGTCCCTGTTATAATCCCTTGTTAATCGTCTGTACTTTTCCCATTTCGTGTTAGAAAGTAGCTTATCTTAGGTGGTTGTTTTTGCCAAAATTACAAAAAGAGTGACTGGCTAAATGGACTACAGTCCAAAGCCAAAAAAAAAGTCCCTGAAAATATAAATTGTACCTATTAGATACAATAAATACACATTTTATTAGTGATTAATGTAAAAAGTGTAAACATTTCAATTCAGTAAAAATCGTCAAACAAATAAGTCGTCTAAATTTAAATAGCATTTAGCATTATTAAAAGCGTTGATTAGGAATTCTTTAAAGTCTCCACTCAACGGTAAAATACCATTATATTATGTATTATACAGTGTGTCCGTAAAGTCCCGGAACATGTGATTATTTTGAAAACGGTATTTTTTTTTTAAAATCGCTGAAACACGTCAACTTTGTTATTTTTCTAGCAATATTTTAGCCTATGTAGTTGTTCCAAAATCTGCCGCGTGGCTGCGCCCCAATCGAAGTAAGGTTTTTTTAAATTACAACCCTTTATTTTTGTTGCATTTTTGGATAGCTACCGTTGTCCTGATTACATTGATATGCTACATGTGAAGGGTTACATAAGAAAATTTTTGAGAAAATGAGGGTTTTTGCCGCTGATTGAGATTTTGGTTTTGACGAACTTATTCGCTGTTACGGGGCACCACCACACTATTCATTGCTAGTAAGGGATTATTTAAAACAGGTCTTTACCAATGGCTGGATAGGTCGAAGTGGTCAAATTGAGTGGCCAGCGCGATCGCCCGATTTGAACCCTTTAGACTTCTTTTTATAGAAACATCTTAAAAACCGCGTCTATGTAAACAGGCCTTAAAATTTGGACGACCTAAGACACCGCATTCAAGCCGAGATCCAGATGATCACTCCAGCGGTACTGGCAAACGTACAACCCTCGTTTGTAGACAGGCTGACCCACTGCCAAATGGTTTACGGTGGACACTTTGAGAAACTGCTCTGATTGGCTTTCCAAAAAACATTAAGCAACGCATAGATTGTGTTTAAGTTTGACAAAATACCAAAATCTCATTCGGCGGCAAAAACATGCTTTTCTCAAAAATTTTCTTATGTAACCCTCCAGATGTGGCACATCAATGTAATCAGGACAATGGTAGCTATCCAAAAATGCAACAAAAATAAAGGGTTGCAATTTAAAAAAAACTGACTTTGATTGTGGCGCCGCCACGCGGCTGAATTTGGAACAACTACATATGCCAAAATATTGCTAGAAAAATAACAAAGTTGACGTGTTTCAGCGTTTTTTTAAAAAAATTACTTTTTTTAAAATAATCTCATGTTCCGGGACTTTACGGACACACTGTATATAATATTATATTGCCATGAAATCGTAGGTATATTTTGTTGTTTAAAATGCAGTTGTCGGCGTTTTTTAGAGAACTCAAATATAAAAATGATTGATTTTGAGGTTATGTTTGTGTAAAAATTATTTTTTAATAATTTCTTAAAAGTGTGCAAACTTAAATATAAATTATATTAGGTAAAGTTATCATTAGTTAATTCTGCACCAACAAATGTACTTACCGAATTGGATCCTTTGGCAAAACATGAAAATGCAACGATTTAGTTCTTGAATTTTATTTACAATTAAAAACACAATAATTCCCATGATCCCTTTTATAAAATATACACACAAACGTAAGCGTTGAGTTTCTTAATCAATGATATAAGGAATAATCAATCAAAATCGAGTACTAAAAAAGTTTTTTAATTTTTTCCTTGCAACGTAAAACACAAATAACGTGCGCGATTTAGCTGTGCAATTGAACAAAATTTGTCGAGTAAGACTTCTGCCTTCCTCTCTTTTGTAAAAAAACTACCTATTTATTTAAAAATGATGTATAATCGGTGCTTTAAATTTATTGTTGACAATTCTTAAAGTCCACCAGATGGCGCGCGCGTTGCAAAAACCCGATACGTCTTTAGCGTTTGCCCCTCAAAAAAATCAAGATCTTAAGAACAACTTTCGGGCTGAAATTAAAGCCGTTAATGGGGTTAATGGTTATTGGAGTCATAAAAAAATGTTTTATTACATACATTTTATTAATGGCATAGAACTTTTCATTTTCAATTCAAAAACCTAGTAACAGATAATCCACCCCTTATACAATGTATATAATTTAAATAAATCCATATAATTCTTAGTTTGTTTCTTATAATTCAGTTCAACATTCTAATGGATCACATAAGTTAAACATAATTTCAGTAAAAAGGGTTTTCTCTGGGCAAATTTCTCTATGGAATAGGAGACAACAATGACAACATTTTGAAAAGCTTAAAAATTATGTTCCGAATATTGGTTCCTACATTTAGTGGTAGTAAAGCAGGTAGCAAGAAACCTGCTGACCTCTGCACTTAGTAGACAACTACTCCTAGCTTCTTATCCGTTTGCTTTGCCTAATTGTCTCCAAAACCACACATATGTATGCTGAGAAGTCGGCAGGTTTCTTGCTACCGCTTTACTACCCTTTTACTTTAAATTGCCTTATCACGCTAGGTTTTCAAATATTTTAGCTCATGAGTTGCAATTATGGTCTTGTGCGTTTATAATCATAAATAAAAAAAAATAGTTTTAGATAATATTAATATTAATGGTAATAAAAATAATAATAATTTTAGGTACTGTGTTCAGTGGACTTTTTTGTTTATGCCTTGGAATCCCAAGATTTTCTCAAAAAGACGGAGCAAGGCCAAGGATCGGGGCCTTAATCATTAATTTATTCATTGGCGCAGGACAATTTTTTACCGTCCTGTTTTGTTTAGTAGGCTGGGGATGGTCGATATGGTGGGGCGTCACTATGGTAAAAATATCAAGTAAGAAACGTGTATTTTGTATAAATATAATTAATAATTTTAAACATTATTTTATTCAGAAAAATTCAAAAAACTGAAACTATTAGAAGAAATGGAGGAGCAAGCTGAAATACGCTCTGAACAGCGTGCGGCAGCTTTGAATTCAAGAGGCACTAAAGATTTGGAAAGATTAAAATAAATTTTAAATTTTCTGAAAAAATTGTTGATTGTTTAATAAAAATCTTTTGGTGATACAACTTGGTATCAATATTTTGAAAAATTGTTATAAACTAACTATATAAAATGTAAACATCATTTTTGCTGGCCAAAAATGATCATTGTATTAAAACTGTAGATACATATTAAGTGCAACCTAAATGAATAATAAATACCACTATTTTTTGTAATAAAATTTGTAGAAAAATATTGTAGATTAAGGTGAAGGTTGTTAAATATATGCAATCTATTAAAAATATTAAAATTAACTTTATAAATTTGTTAAACTGTATTACCTATTTTTATTAAAATAATTAGTTTTAAAAAAATTATATAATTTTTTAATTAATTAAAATGTTTGCTTTGTTAAGTTTATTGTAAATTAATTTTATTAATAATTGTTTATTATCTAATAAATTAAATAAATTGTAATTATATACACTTTTTAAAATAAAAAAATACTATATAAATAAAAAAAAATCGTGTTTAATTAAAAATAAAATAATACTTACCTGAAAATATTTTACTTAAAAGTTAAAGGGCAAAATTTTGCAACCTGTAAAAAAAGTAACAATGGGATTGAAAGGAAGGGGTCGATAAACTTACAGTTCAAAAACACACAATCATTATAATTGATTTACTTAGTTCAGCGATCAAATATAACTTATATACATTATTGAAAAAATGAATTGACTTTCAGTAATACTGAAACTAGCCAAGCCTATTTTTATGACATGCATATTCCCGCATAGAGAATGTGTAATACGTTTAAAAAAAGTGTCTTTAAGAACATAACATTCACAAAAGTAGACTGCTAGTACAAATATTTGGCATACATTTACGCGTATATAATACTTTTCAAATAAATTTATAATATATAATATTTATGTATATTTATATACAGACAGCATCGGAAAATACATACATTTACTTACGTTTACTTGTGTTTTATATGTTACTTGTATGTATGTACTCATGTTTATGTATTTTTGAACGTGTAAGCTTTGTGAATAGGTGGGTGAGTGTCTTTTGTCTCCCTCTGTGATAATTTCGTAAATTAATTATTTTAAGCATACGATCATTACATAATTTACAATCACAATACACTTGTAACGGTACGATAAATTATCCATTTAAAACAAAAACAGAACACAACCAAATCAGAAAGAACAATTTTAATGTATTAACACAATAATTGTATGGGACACACTTATCTGATTTGCTGTTGTACTGTACAATATAGTGTAGTATAACATAACAATAAAACAGTTCTACACAATAATGACAATAACAATGTTAAACATTACTTCGCCTATTTCACAACACAATAAGACATTTATTGTTTTTACATAAATACTTGTAAACATCTAGAAACATCCAGTAGCATTAGTATGTTTTATATTACATATTTTATTTGACAAAGTTAATTTCTAAACATTTATGGTGTTTCTTTTACTAGAATTCTATTATTTACACTAAATAATCATGTTGATAAGTTTAAACGTGTAGTAAGTGAGAAAATCGAATAAAGTTCTACAATAAAAGATGAAATTGCGTAATTAACTGTGCGAAATCGTATTGTATGCTTTAATTAATGACTTAATTACTATATTTGGCATATATTTATTTTACACTTATTATATTATGTGTGTAATAATACCTGTTAAACAAAATGTTTAAGAATACAGGTACAATTTGCTTCAAAGAGCTCATAACAAAAACAAAGAAAGCCACTTTTTATATTATACTTTTGTCCGAATTTTGGTACTAGGTACATATAACCGTTAAAAATTGTACTTGGTGCTTTAATTTAATTATAGGCATAATAAATAATCGAAACTATATTAAATTTGCTTTTTCCGCAAAATTTAAAATTTTTACTCGATAAAATAAAATAAAAAGTGCGAAACGAGTATTAAACAGTCTTAAATGTTATTTTAGTATTGAAAAAATTATCACAGCACAGAGAGAAACAAGAAGCATAAACCAAAACTACACTGTCATTAAAGTCTAATAGATCATTGGTCTCATGAATTGGTAAGTTTACAATTTTATTAGTTGTATGATAAATATGTTTTAATTATATCGCACATTTAGAAGTGTGCGTTTGTATAGAGTAGAACATATGAATAAAAACTTTCAAATAAATTTGTCGTTCCACGTTAAATCGACTACTTTTGAACCCGACCCCTTTCGATTTGGCTATAATGTTTTTATATTTATCTACCTCACTGGATATTTTTTTCGGCTTTTTTATAAATTGACTAAAGTTTTTTTTATTTTTTTACTTTTCAGAAGAAAAAAAATGTCGATGTAAAGTTCTATACAATTTTTTTAGAAAAACCATTAATTTTTAAATTTTTTAGTTTTTTTATAAAAAACTTTGATTTATTCTGCGATTAATGCCGCTATTCCCAAAGGGGTAGACTTTACTTTCTACCTATTTTTATTAAACAACTTTTTTATTTTTATAATAAAATTAATTTAAGTACATACTTAACCTTTTTGCAATGATATTTTACACTTTATTTATAATCTAACCTAATAATATTTTTGGCAGAAATTTTTCGAATTCAAATAAGTAAAAAATATATAAATTATTTAAAAAAGTTATAGCAAATAAAATAAAAATAAATAAATCCGAGTGAATTCTGACGAATTTTGTGTCTTATAGATGGATTATAGGACAGTGATATTACCTTTATAATGGGTCACAAATCAGTATAATTATGCTCATATTATATGTAAATTGTTGATAAATAAAATAAATCGTTTGTTAAATTGTTGTTAAAAAATTGAATTATTGTTAATTGTATTAAAATCTTAATTACGATTATATATGGTCATATATTATCATCATATATGATTATAATCATTAGGTTAGATTATAAATTAAGGCTAAAATATCATAAAACCATTTATTAAATGATTTTATTATAAAAACTATGTTTTTATAGAAAAAAAATTTTAAAATAAATTTTTAATTAAAAAAAAATAGAAAGAAATTCGGTCCACTCTGGATTTAGCAGCATAATTCAAGTTTTTTTATGAAAAAAAAGAAAAACAATTGAAAATAGCGAACTTTCAAAAATTGATTTTTTTAAATACCGAAAATTTCAAAGAATTTGACATCGAAATTTTTTTTTGTGCCTATTTTTTTGCTGGGTAATTTTTTTTTTTTTAAATCTGAGAAAAATTGTTAGTGGGGTAGAAAAATGCATGGAATTCCCCATTTACATTCTTAAAAATGGAAATTCAGAAAAAATAAATATCCCATAATTATGCTTATAATCACAAGAAGAAAGTTAAGTGTAACTGTGTAGTTTGGGTGTAAGCAGCAGACAAAAAGTAATCCATTTTTTAGAAAATTGTATTAATTTTTAAACCTTACATTTTCTTTAAAAATGAATTTACCCTAATTTATCAACTGTACCTCCAAATCAAAAACATTATAAATGTAATATTTTTTGATTTAAAATGGATACAGATTATTTGCTGGGTGTAAGGTAAGAGTTTTGGAGTAAGTGTGATAGACAAACAAGGACTACCACTGCTAGAGGCACAGATAATTGACTCAACTAATGTTTTGTTACGACATATATTAAAGAATGCAGAGTTTAATGGAACCGCTACAAAAAAAAGTAACAACACACAGAAATGGCCTGATCTTTCATTGATTACGCCGATATGCAAGAAGGAAAACAAACATTGTGTTACGTAACAAAGTTTCCAAAATGGAACAATTCACCGATTGATAATACTAATTTAGGAATCTTGGGCAACTTTTTTTTGTTAAAAAACCTGCAGTAGCAAGAAAACATTAAATCTTACTTGAGATATGATAACACCCAAACAATTTGCTATATTACAAAATTTTAAGCAATTCAAGTGTATTACCAATAAATTGTATAGGGGTAATAAAATCTTAAATATCATGATAATCAATGAATGACAGTTATCACCTAAAAAATCACCTTCATCTATAAATATTTCAGTTGTCTCTAAAACAGTTACTATAAACTAGATGCAATTATTTTAAACTGTTTCCAAAAGTACCGTTTTTGGTCCATTATTTATTCAAGTACACGCAACGCTTTCAACTAACTGCAATTTAAAATAATTGCAAAAGACAAAATAATTTCTAAATCTACAGTACGAATATGTATGTAATACTATGTGATATGAACTAACTATTTGTCTTTTATGTTTTCTTATATGCAAACATCATATTAGAGCTAAAAAGCTCCAAATGTGTTTGAGTAAAAGTGTTGGATATAAAAATAAAATTGCTAAAGTGAAAAACAAGTTAGGCCATTGGACTTATATAATAATAATAATAGTAAAAATACGCCTTGGATATGGTTAAAATTCAAGCCACTTTGAGCTTGTTTGAGTTTATTTATACCAAACACTTTTACTAATTGCAATATTTTAGCACATGTCTTAAATATGCCATACTTAAACACCGACTATTGACATATATTTAATAATAAATACATCCTCATCTCATTCCTAAAATTCTGCATTAAAAAAAATTGAAAGCAAAGTCAACAGGCATAAATAGGATACTTGGAGTTCATATTGTGGTGATAATAACACTGGTCGACAAAATGAAATTTTTTGTTTGCCACAGGGAAGCCAGCAACTTTTCTAGGGTAATTTGTGTGCGCTGATTCCAAAATCATCATTAGGCTCAATTAGCCTTTTTTCGAGATATAGTAAAAAAAACGTTTTTTTCGATATGCAAACATTAAAGTTAGCATATATATTTTTTTTAAATTAAATTTCCAAATAAATTTAAATAAATTATACACATACAAAAAGTGTGTCCCTTACAAAACTTATTTTTAACAAAATAACATTTTAAAGTTAAAGTTGCTGTTACGCGAAAAATTTTTGTCCTATTTTAATGAAATTTACAAAATTGTGTTTCAACGCAATCAAATAAAAATTGTCAAAATGGCACTTAAAACAACCGCGCGTGTCAAAATTTATATTTTAGATAAAAATAAATTAAAAAATATATATCTTGAAAAGGAACCAACCAACTTTAAAAACTAATAAACTAAAAATTAGGGATCTAAAAGGCCTTTAAAATAAGGGTCCTCTTCCTTTTAAAAATTGTAGGAGTTACCATCACCCCTGCTTAGAGGCTGGTATGGAGTGGAGAAAATATAAAAATAAATTGTTCCCTAAAAATTATATGTGTAAAGCGTTTATTATTTTTTTACATAACACCTGAGAAAACCGGGGTGAATATGTAACTTATTTTATTTAGTTACTTTT